AAAAGCGGAAAAAAGGCACGTCGATCTTTTACTACTGTACAGAGAAATTTTCGCAAGATTAAATCCTTGAGCCAGCTTTACAGATGGGAAGCGAGTGTAGAGAAAGGTGGAACAAATTCAGATAAATTTTAATTTATTGCGGAATATGTACTGCAAAAGTTTGAAGAAGCTTCTGACAGAAGATCTATTGTTCACGATATGAATTTAAGATTCTGGGCCTTGGAGGCAAAGGACCAAATGAACTTACCCGAATTCAAGGCAAGTAAATGATGGATTTGGAAATTCAAGAATGTGCATAGAATTGTTTCTCGCAAGATAACAACATTCAGGACGCGATCTACGCTTCAAGATATTGGTAACCTACAAAATATCGCAGAATCGTTTGTTTTAAACGTAAGATCTGACATCCCAGCTATCGGAGTTGAAGAAATTTATAATGCAGACGAGAGCGGCTTCAACCTTGAAATACATTCTGGGCGAACATTGGCGAAATCAGGAGTAAAAACAGTTGAAGCGATGGTTCAATCGGTATCTTCTACAACACATAGCTACACTATAATGCCTATTATTTCGGCAAGCGGACGTCTTCTTTCACTACTATATATAGTTTTAAAGGAGTCTACAGGAACATTTGGTCCGAGGGTGCAAGAAACTCTATTCCGTCCAGTTAACATTTACATCCAAGCTTCAAAATCAGGAAAACTCACGTCTGAACATTTCAAAACTTGGTTCAGCGAAGTGTATGTACCAAATACTGGCCGTAAAAGCATGCTACTACTCGACTCGTGGACGGGACACTGCCCGAGCCAGCTAGAGCAGTTGATTCCACAAGACAAAGAAGTAAAATTTTCAACCATTCCAAAAAAGACAACGGCCTTTATTCAGCCTTTAGATGTGTTTGGATTCCGGATTTGGAAAAATTTCGTGCGAACATTTTCGGATAATGTAATTCTCCAAGAGAAACATGTCAATTTGCACTCACGTAATGAAATAATTAAATTGCAATCACTAACTCATAATCAGCTTTCTTCGCCCAGATTCAAAAATCTTTTCCAATATGCTTGGTTTAAAAGCGGATATCTAGAAACACATCCCGGTGAATTTCAAAATCCC